TGGTCACTAGTAGCAACGGTAGGAAGAGCACTTGGCAGAAGCATGGTGGCCTGCATTTGGGCTCCTCCACAGCTGCTGGGCACCCTTCTCTCCCTGAATGACATGCTTTTGTAGTATGTTGTTTGGGTCAAACAAAAGGTTTAGTGAACAAAATTTGCTTCAGGATACAGATGGAATATAAGACAATTAGAAAACAAGGCAGTATACTATAATTACAAATGCAAATGTTTGTTGGACAAAAGGGCAGTAAGTGCCAACAGTTATTGGACAAAAGGATCATCGAGGGCAGAAATTTGAACTTCAGAGAGAAAATTTTCAGGGATACTTAGCCTACATTTTCTCTCAAGTCTTTTTCCAGGTACATGTTCCTCATTTTTCCTCACCAGAGAGCACTTCTATCTTCTTCTTTGCCTGAAGAGCACCAGTAGCGCGCAAGGGTAAAGTGCTTGGCTGCTAACCAAAAAGTCCGAGATTCGAACCCACCAGTTGCTCCGTGGAAGAAAGATCTGGCAGTCTGCTCCATAAAAGTTTACAGACTTGGAGACTCTATGGAGTAGTTCTGCTCCATCCTATAGGGTCTCTATGAGTTGGCATCGACTCCAAAGCAATGGGATTGGATTTTTTTTTTTCTTTTTTAACTCCTTGCCTGCATGACGTCTAAGGTAGAAGACACCATAGCCTCTCTAGACTGAGACATAACATGGGGTTATACAGTCTACTGCTCCTCAAAGGGGGACTGGTAGAGATACGGCAAAAACAAGTTAAGCAATTGCCACATTTATGTAGAAAAATATCAAAAGTAACTGTAGGCTATAAACTAAAGAGTAAAAGTCTTAGTCCTTCCAGACACTGGTTCTGTTTACAGGCAATAACCATATCAACAGTTTCCTCTGCATCCTCCCAGAAATATATGCTTACAACAACATTTGTGCCCTCGTGTGCGTGTGTGCGCACGCGCGTGTGTCTGTGTTCTTATTAATCAAATAGCACTTTATCTAGCCATTAAAAAATTCCGCCTAATTACATTCATGTTACATTTGTCTACTTAACAATATATCTTTTTGTATCATTATGGATCTAGTTTCCCTCATGCTTTTGAATGGTTGTATAGAGTAGGATGCTATTTCAATGGTTACATATTGTCAATATTAAAAAATCATTTACTATTTTAATAGTTGTATAGAGTAAGCTAAGGAGCCCTGGTGACCAGTGGTTAAGCGTGTGGCTGCTAACTGAAAGGTCAGCAGTTTGAGCCCACCAGCCAATCCATGGGAGAAAGATGTG